ATAGTCCGCCTTGTCCTCCACGCACACTTCCTTCACACGATCGTACTTCCGAGGTAAGAGGCGCATAAGTTGAGTTGACTGATCTCAGTAAGCTACAGCTTGTCTATTTTGGGATTGAGGCTTTGATTATGAGGATGTGGTTGTGACACCGGTGAATTCATAAAGACGATATGACAGCATGAATATGAGGACAATTCGAGCAATGAATTTGTTCTTTTCCAAGGCATTCCCTTTCAAGGCATAAGTGATCAAATGTATGCACAAATGTGTGTACGTATTAAGAACCAACAAGTGATGTACGAACAGCTAAAGACATTGGTGCACCATCATGCCAAAGCCGACATTTTAATGCTTCTTTCACCTCAACCGGTAAGCCTTGCGTTAACTAAATTGTGACTAGGAGGACCGAAATCTGCAGCTTTTAGTTGTATAGGAGCATCTTATTCGAAGGTTAAAGATGCTGTTTTGTAAAGGATGCCATACGACCCTCTCAGAGTGAAGTTCTGCATAGCAAGTAGTCACATTTATGACTCCTGTAAAACGTTGACTATTTAGCTCTACCGTTTTGTTGAGGATCTACCTTGTGTCCTGACCGCTGAACCGACTGAACTACGAGACACGCAAGTAGCCCCAACTCCTGGCTTTCATTCACTTTTAGAGACGTCTCGGCTCTCTACACTGGCAGGAATGAAAAGCGACTCTACCTTAAATGCTATCTATTCTGAGTTCACCTGTTCGGTGGTGACGAGCTCCAGTTTGGTGACAGGAGAGCTTATGCTGCTCATACCGAGGGGTTGAAAATGCTACCTACCAAAGTGTCACACACATCCGTTCGTCAGAATGTGATCCCTGACTAACAGATGACTAAGTATTAGCTGCAGAGACTGTGATATTTCCAGTATACTCCTGCAACACTTCACTTTCTTCACTCAAACTTTCGTGGAAGTCTGAAGCTTACTAACTACACTGCAACTATGAACAAGGAAAATGTGGAGTTATGACTTTCCATCTTTAACTTGTTAGTATCCCTGGTTAGGAAAGTGGTTTTTATTGCCAGTAAGCATTTCAATTTCACTAATAGCAATAAAGGCGCATTACCCCAGCTCTTGATTTCCTCTTTACTTATTAGACAATCCACCAATGCATGTGAGTGATGTCCACAGTTGACAAACATGAAGAAATCATCTTATAACTTCCTAATTGGATGACTTCAACAAACGACGTGTATTGTGTTCTTAATGGACCGTAACTTAAAAAAAGACTCACTTATTTTAGAGGGAAGCAGTAATGTCAACTTCCACCTGTTCACAATTTTGTGGTGAAAAGCATCCGCTATAGCAGTGGGTGAATGCGCTGCTCACTAACTGTTCACATTAGAGTCGATTACCAGAGAGTAACTAAAGATTAATTTCTTCACTTTTACCTCCTATAGAGGAGTAAAAGTCAAAAATCTTTAACCATAAATGGAGCCGATGATGATTTGAAACAAGTAACAGTAGGACCGCCAGTGTTAGCAGGAGTTATTTTAACTCACCGCATAAAAAGGCTCGCAGATGCAGAAGGGTATTTTGAGAGCTGCAAGCTGGGCCTCAAAGGCGTTTACCAGAAGCTCTTTTCTACCAACAAAGTGCTCGAAGAATGAGATGGGCAAGCGGTTGGCAGAAGGAATCATGCCGTGCCAGCGGCGGAAGTCCTCCGATAGCGCTTTTGCACCCTCTTCCTCCCTTTCGACTGTGTAAAGACGCAGCTCTTCCGGCACGTAGGTCCCGCATATCCCAATGGAGTGGACTGCATTCTTGCAAAATTCCAACCCCTTTGTACGACAGGGGTCGGGACAATTGAGGTGCTTGTCAATACCACGCACACACAGGCCTATACTGAAGCCCGATGGTTTATTTTAACCTCACGTACTCTCTTAGGTTTTTTATCGCTCTACTCCCACCGTGGTTCAATTATCCTCCCCTTCGTTACTATATGACAAATAAATTTGGCACTACCTTACCCGATTCCTAAGTATCGGTTCTACCACTGCTGCCTATAAGATTACTTGCTCACTTGAATAACTACGAATCATTGCAAAAACATGCTTCCCCAGCCGAGTCGCCTTATTAGTGCTGTGAGTCTAAACTAATGATGCAGGGTTGGTGCCACTTAACTGCACAATCTTCCAGCGGTTGTGATCTTCACCACACGCAAATTTGCCCATACCATTGCAAGACGAAAGCATGTCATCCGTTTCTGTGCCATTTCAACCTTTCCTAGACCTTCATATTTAATAATATTCAAGTTAACTGCTGGATGAGGATGATTTAAATACATTTTTCCTTGATTTACTTTCAAAAACAGCCTACAGGCGTTTCGAGGTGAGAAAAAACGGCAAAACATTTCTTGGAAGAACTGGTTAAGTTGCGGGCACACATCGACGGAATCGTCTATAATGGCACTACCTCGACATCGCATGTCTACTCCCTTAAGTAGCATAGAATGTCATCGTTTGGTAGAAGAGTCCGTTTCATTCATAACACAGCTGCATCGCTTTAACTTTCACATTCGCAAATAGTCCCATCAAAAGTCCCGAATCGACAGTGTTGATCCTTAGCTAAGAAATACTGACAAGTGGGCGGCAACACTTATGCCTTATCATGCTACCGGGGCTCTAAGATCTTAAGCTACCCAAATAAGTTTTCATTGTTAAGAACTGCAAGTGATCCATGATTGTGCAGCAGTAGTTCTTATTATAAGTGTATTCTTGTCACTCCTTCTGCAATTTGGTTTATCCATAGGTTGTATTGGAATGTGATTATGTCAAATGCGCTACAAACCCTTCAGGCTCTCTGTAAAGTAGCTGCAAACCCTATTTAACCTTTTTGCGTGTTCTTACACAATAAACAAGGAAAACTGACTAATTGAAGCCAAAAATAGCAATGATCCCACTTTTAATGGCGGCATGAGGAGAAGCTGTTGTTAATAAATTTGTTTACGGGAGTGCAACAAGACTACTGAAAATGGTTCCAATTATAGCGAACATCAATAATAAATTCACATTTTATTCTAATTCTGTTATGAATTAGAATAAAAATGGAATTAAATACTATGGCATGACAAAAAATTATCCGTAAGCCAAAAATACTGGCTTGAGATTCATGCGTCTTTGGGAAAGCCGAGGGGACACTCGATTAAGTAGTAAGGCGGTATATAAACTGTACATCAATCTGTGTATTATATTAAAGTATGAGGACTTTGGAGACTAATTCCTCCAAAATGCAATTGCCAGAGATGCATCTCCTGTAAGGAAGAGGGATACAATTATTGATTCATCGATGCCTCTCATTGCAGTTGCTTCCCTCCCAAGCATGCTAGTGATGAGAGATTACCTGGGTAAGACGTTTCGGTTATTCCATCTTGGTTTAAAACTCTTCTCGAATGTTGACAACTAGACAACCCACAAACGAACATTTGTATAATTCTGTAATTTGATATGCCAATAAGGGTAACAAATGCGTAGTGGCGATCTTACCTTTTTGCACTGCATCATTAAAACAAGTGTAATTGATTGTCTACGAACAGAAAACCCATCTGGAAGTAAGCAAAGACGTAGTCTAGAATGGGAGGCTATATAAAAATTGAATTTGAGTGTGTTGCTACTGAACGGTTTTGAAGCAAAACAAATTGCTACAGTTGTTTCAATCGTTTAGACCCGAAAAGCCGGTGATAAAAAAGAGAGGCAAGGGTCGCTATAACTCACCGATAGAGAATATCAAGCAATCCACGCACCCCATTGGTGTTACGGGAGAGTTCAATGTCGTAGACCTTCTGTACCCACTCTAGATCGTTGAATAGGTCGCAGTTAATTCTCATCATGACCTGACTCCCAAGGTTTTCCTGTGGTTCCTCGATCACCTGCTGAACCATGTTCATATAGCGCTCGCTATTGAGGATGGAAGCGGGTGGAACGTGATCAGCAAGATCCCGATCTATCCTTGCTCGGCCTGCCAGACGGGCAAGATAAAAAGCTTTCGTCGCGTCTTCTAGGTACTTCACTTTCTGTGTTTGCAGATTCGGCACACCCTGGCACTTCCACCATATTTTTATTGGATAGCTCTCCTGTTGAATTTCATACGTGGATGTGTGGGCAATTGCAACCCACACTGCGAGGCCGATCAAACAGGCAGCTATTTGCCTAACGCCCATTGGTGTGTGTGGCCACGGTTGAGTTCATTCGTCTAATTGATAATCAATATGGTCCATTATTGTGATTACGTGCATAGCTCTGCTCAAGGCGACGATCCATACTGATAAGTTTGGTTAATCAATGCGCAATCCATAAAAAACGACGGTTAGCACCACCCCTTGTCTGCCATGATGAAGCGAAACCCATGTGTTCCTATCCATTCCACGATGAGAATACCACTCCAATGGTTAAATCAGGGAGAAGTCTGAATATTTGAAATGTTCCTACATGTCATTGATTGACTTCCTGAAACACATTCATTTTATCCCATTCCGCAGGACGTTACTTTCAAATTGGGTACACAATCACGGAACTACGATGTACTTCGTTTGCCTAATCCAGAGCAAGCTTTCTCATGTTCTTGAAAAGAAAAAGAGTACTGAGAAAGTTCCAGCTAATACTGTGAAGGTCACCGTAACTATTATCACTTTTCAGCATTGAAGATGTATACCACATCCCCTCAACGAGGATAGCACTAAGTAGTTGACTGCCTAAGCCAGCAAGGCATTCTCCGCATGTCAATTAAATTAATACGTAAGGGAAAGCGCACTGGATGAGTCCAAACTACCTGCCCCTTAAAGACGCCCCGAATAGCCGACCAAAATGAAGCTCATTGAACTGATCTGTTATTTCAAAAGATGACCCTTAAACCGGTTTGAATGCTCAATGACCTCCACCCAAAATTTAATCAATCCCAACCGATAAAATGAAGCACTTTATAAAAAAAGGAGTATAATACTATATACAATGATATCACTTAAAATGATGGTTATCGTCTCTGCCCTCCTACTGCATGCAAACGGGGCGACAATGATTGCGTCAGCGGTGGGGAAGATGGTAGTGGTGTCCATCGAAGACAGGATACATCAAAGACTGTGGGGCATAAGGCAGCGCCATCCTCACCATTGCGCACTCCCCTCAGCTCTCGCTCCACTATCCGCGTCATGTAGTCACTCAGGGCCCGACGACTCAGTTCCAGGTGGCGGCCGTGACGCCAGCTCTTGATAACCTCATGTGTTTGCAGTGTCCATATTATGTCCTCCGGTGCAATGCAGGTGGCGGTGCTGGTAGGGTACAATAGGAAAGCATCACTACGTTAGCCCCATAATGGGAACAGTAGCTCACCTAATCTCTTCGATGGTGCAGCTGGTATGAGTCAAGAGGTAGCGGAAGATGACACCTTCCCAGTAGCTCTTGTAACTCAGCCGGCCAAGGTCGGAGAGAGGCTTTTCAGGCGAACCGATGGTACCCTCAATCTTTGCCAATTCATAACCTGCAAAAGAGGGTTCAAAAACTTTGTACTACCTAGGTACGGTGTGACTTGTGCCTGAGATGAGCTCATAGAGATCGCGCCGAAGGCTCTAGTTTTTGTTTTAGCTAACAAGTACTCAGCCGCTCCTAGACACTGAATACCAAACGTTCCTGCAGTTATAAAGGGATAAGTAGTATCAGACAACAAAGTAACAATACAAGCTTCCACTTCTTTCATAAAGCATATCAGTCTGGATATTATCAGCACAGAAAACCCCCAAGGCCAATCTTCCCAGTCCAACCAAACCAATGTGAGAGGACTTGGAATGAAGCCACTGACACAAGGAACTTATGCAATACGTCACGTGGTTGTGAAACTGTTTTGTTTCATCAAAGGATTATTTATTTACTTAGGTGGACGGCGTAGTATGATCCCTTCCGCCGTTCCAATGATCAACCCCCACACCCTTCACTTGCAGATGCTAAGCCCAAACGAAGAGAATCTGCGGCGAATCGTTGCGAAGGAGTTTGAAGTGACATCCACTTTAACTAACTGCCTCAGTCCTGTAATCTGCATGAAGGCTACTATAGCGTTCCATGAGATACCCCTTCCTCTCTACCAACTAGAGAAAACCCAGATATGCAAGATTAGACAGCTCTGAGATGTGTATAACGTATCTTCATGAAATCGAGATAAAGTCTGCCCTCCCACGAACGAGTCTGCTTTTCGAACGTGCGCAACGACCACCACCTTTCTCGTCCTCTTGTACAGTAGCCATAGAGGTTGAAATTCTAGATTCAGCAGGAATGCCAAGAGAGGTGCGTAATGTAGAGATCGAACACCTCAAGTTGCTGCAAACTTATCAGCTGTAGATGGTTTTCTTGCGGTCCTAGCTGCGTCAATGGCAAATGCAACAAACCAAGGAGAGCTAAGGAGAAGAATGGAATACTCCGACTGTCAAACTCTCAGTCTCAATAAAAAGGCCGCTGAGATGCTCCTCCAACTGGCCTAGCTCTCAAGCCGTTCCGATACCCCACAGCCCTGCTGGATACAAACGATATCAATACTCAAATGCTATTCCTTGCCGCTATACTGACTCAACCGAAATCTCATCGAATCATAGAATTCATTAGCTTTACAGACTCATTTTTTGGATTTTGATAGCGATTAATAGGTACAACAAGACAAATAGCCGATCACTTTCGATCTTTCGCGAAATCTCTGTTTTCGAAGCAATAGCATGCTGTACAGGCATTTGAAAGTGATGCTCTCTATTTGTAGTAGTTAATCCGCACTCGATACGAAGTAAAAAAATTATGAACGACAATAGTGCTTATAGTGATAACGGAAATAGGCGTACAAATTCAACGAAAACAATTGTACGAAACTAGAAACCTGATAGACTTACTGAGAGTAATGAGAAATTTGCCATAACCTTTCCTCTGGAAGGGCGGAAGCGTAAGAATGCATGCAAGGTTATTGTTGTCTAACGAAACACGCTCCTTGGAAAAGTAGCCTACGATATGGCAGCCATCAGTGTCCGCCTCACAGAGAACATAGAATAAGAAAGGTGCCACATCGTAGTAGAGAGTCTTATGGTCCAAAAACAGCTTTGCAAGGAGGCAGAGATTCTGGCAGTACAACTAAGAACACAGAATGACCACGGTTTGAAAAGAACGAAACAAGTGATTTTACCTTTTCCTTAGCTGCATCAACTTCGAAAACGCGAATGGAACTCTTGCGGTAGATCTCTCGCCCAGGAGGCTGGCGCTGTCTGCACTCATGCAGCATATGACGCACCCATGTTTTCTCCATCTTCATATACTTAAGACAAAACTCGCAGACCCATAAGCATTTCAGCCGTCTATACTCATCGGGATAGGGCGAGAAATACCAAGTGCCAATCTCGTATTTGCCGAAACGAACCTGATCAATGAACTTAACACGGGTAAACTCCTGATGCTCGCGTTCTAGACGCTCTGTAAGTGTGTTTGCAGGATAGAGTTCCTATTGGGTAAGGAGAGGGGACAAGAATTATGGCAGCGAATGGATCAACTTGAAAAGCCTTCAAGTTGGAGAAAAGGACTCACTGATGGGGTACTATTCAGCTCCTCATAGCGGCGCTTCTGGTGACGAGTGAGGCGCCCATCATTTTGACCAGGAACAAGCAAAACATCGTCGATGGGAGTGGGGATGACAAACTTAGAGGTGGTATCGATACGATCAGCTGATACCCACTCATCAAGGCGGCGATCAACTAGGAAGATTCGAGGAAAAGTGTATGTAGCCTACAATTTAAGTAGTGAACAAAGTATTCCACCTGACCGGTGTCCGTAAGGCGCGTCTCGACGATAGAAGCAGGGTCTAGTAAAATGTGACGGGAACAGAATTCACCTACATGACTGCCCATTATTTCTCTGAATTTTGAAATGATCACCAATAACGATATCCACCGTGTGTCGCATTTAAAATGAAATCAATGCTCCGAGCGAGTTGTAAGGTAGAGATCTTTTGAATAAGACCGATAATCTGGAGCAGAATACCACTCAAAAACTCCTATATGCACAAAATACACCGCAACGCAAGCATGAATGACAGGTGATCCAGGAATCGAAGACGACCGGAACGCAATCCAGTGCGCAGACAGCCCACGCGCTCACAACCAGCAAATTGCAGCCGCTATTAGGGCAGAGGCTCATGGACTTGGTAAGCATACGTAGGAAAGCGATGTGCCCAAAAAACATCACTGTCAATATAAGTTCACAACGAACTGGCTAGTTTTCAGTGAGCAATTCGAAACCAAACTTTCGTGAGTAAAGTGCCCGAACGAGGATTAGGAGTTGCAAAAATATTCAGCAATAAAAATTCACAGTAATTATATAAAAATATTAATACTAAGAATACTTTTACATCTCCAGCTGGAATCCAATGCTCGAAAATTTAACCGTGACATAAAATTTCGTGTTGTTTACGTGTCTTAAGTTGAAAGTTTTATAAACCTTACGTAAAATGGCTAACAAGGTGCCTTATACAGGAAAGCCGGACGTCTATTGGTTGGTTTGATGCGTGACGAATACTTTATTTAAATATGGTATGGTGAGATGTCTGTATTTAGCCCTCGTACAGATGGAGAGCAATCGGTCTGATTTCTCTATAGGTTCTGTGTTTTGGGCCAAAGTCGGCACTTATCCGTGGTGGCCTTGTATGATATATAACAGTCCTGATGGAAGTGGCTACATCAAACACCTAAAAACCACAACTAAATATCATGTTCAGTTTTTCGGGCCGACTGTGGAACGTGCGTGGATCAGTGACGCTAATCTCATTCCATATGATTCAGATTGCAACTTGGGAGCTCAATTAGAAAAACTCCAGAAAGTATGCTTCGCGTTGTCTTATCCTGTATGTTTTGTCATTAGTCACAAGGACCTAAGTACGAATTGAGAGTTCCTAATACTCAAAGAAGCAGGTGGGAAGAGTCCTGTAAGGAGGCTAATGCTGCTTGTCAGCTTTCCCTAGAAGAGAGGATTCAGTTTTTTGGTCGAATCGCCCCTGCATCTAGGCCTTCCTTAGCTGCACCTGAACTGGAAGGTAAGCATTATTTGACTTTTATTTTACTTCTTAGCCATGTTGCTAAAAAATGTGGAGAGAATTCCACTTACAATCGAGGAGGAGGCTGAATCGCTTAACACATTTGTTAAAACAGAGAAGGCTCGTTGCTTGGAGATAAATCCCGGTATTGATGAGACTGAACTTGATAGAGTACTTCGCATTCAATGGTCTGGCTTCGACTTTGCCACACAGCGCTCGTATTTGTCTAGAAAATTAGCAATATTTGGTTTGGAGTCCGCAGCAGATGTAAGTTTATTGCTTTATGAAGTACATGGGTTGTATTTGCTTCTTGTGAGCTGTCTTAACCCACTGCTCTTTCTGAGTTGTGTATCTTTTTGTGCTATCTTTTGAACACTCAATTTGAAAATTTGTCAGGGTGCTACTACCGTATGCACGCCGACATACATCTTCAAAAAACAAGCTAGCGGTTAATATTAGTAACGAATTCACCTTTTTGTTTTCCAAAATTCACATAGATTTCCGTTGGCTTGTCTCAAATTCCGTGCATTCCTATTTCTTCCAAAATAAAAATTTTAGAAGTACAATCCTCTTTTGACGTTTTTTGTTCCCCCTTTGTTGTGCAAGGTTCATTTCCTTCTTAAAATGTTATGTTCCTTAAAGGTGGATGAAGAAATGAGGGAACGCGCAACTGCGCGAAGAGCCAGTGTATCGGGCTCCGTTACTTCAACCGCTAAGAAATCAGTCTCGTCAGTTGGATCGAAAGCTGAGAGAGTATGTTCCTATTCTTAATATTCACCTGTTCCTTTCGCTTGTTTTTTCAACGCTTGTTTTAATAGGTTGTGATCCTTAGCTATAAGTCCAAAAGCTTTACAAGTCAGATTCCATAAGGCCTTCGGCTATTTGCTTAACTGTTCAGACAGTGTCTGCTGTTGCCTTCTAGTCACTGCTGCTAAGTCCCAAGTGACAAAGTGGAATTAGTACCAGGTTAAGTATGTCCATCGCACCCTTAAGTTTAAACATTACGATAAATACATAATTTGTTGCAACTAGGTACCATAGATTGAAATTGGGTCTGTCTTTTGCGACTTCTGTAGAGAATGTTTTGTGTATTCAGCAGCTTGTTGCTCGTCTGAATTGCTTGCACGATACGTCCTTTTTTCTTCATGAGCTTATCGACCTATTTTGAAATCAATGATAGTCTAGGCGACAGGTAGACGATGGTAGATCAAGAGTGGACGCGGAAATTCTACGGTTAATCGCTTCTCCAGGACCGTATCGCTTCCAACCGGTCTGTTTTGTGTGCATGGAAACAACAAATGATCGTTCCGTGCTGCTAAAGTGCAAGGGTGCCTGTGGTCGCTATTGGCATCCTGGTTGCTTGCCGGAGTCGATCACATTGGACAGGGGTGCGTATCATTATACTATCCATCAATCTGAACCCTAATCATTTCTTTCTTTAGAAATTGTAAATCCGACTAAGTTTATGTGTTACGACTGTCAGAAGAAGACCTACCCTTGTAATGTCTGTGGCGTAGCTAAAGAAAATGACGCTACTAACGAAATGTATAGCTGCCAGGTAGGTTTTAACATTCAGTTCAGTATAATAGCGCTCTCCCAGATGCGGGACTGTGGCAAATGGTATCATCGTCATTGCCTCGAATCTCAGCCTGGTGTTATATTCGAAGATGGGCTTGTACGATGTCCATCTCACGTTTGCGCTACATGCTGTTTGGAGAATCCCAGGACGCCTTGTGCTGTGGGCCGAAATATGATTCAGTGCTTTTCGTATGCCAGATTTTGCATGATAGTTTTTTTCAACGATAATTTTTCTAAGGGTCCTCACATTTTTTGAGTCTAGCGAACTGAATTTGATTTCCTACTTGCAATCCACGGTTCATCTTGTATCGAAAAATAATTTCATCAAGGAAGGTTCCCTTATGGTATGAGTAGTTGCTCTTACCTTTTTGGGGCATTAATACTAACTCCCGCTGGCGGTTGGTGCGTCTCACCACCTTAGAGAATGTATGAAATCAAAACCGGTTGCATTAACTCAAACTTGTTTCAAGGCTATTGGCATTGATGATTTCGTCAGAGTTTCATCCTGTCAGCATGGCAGTTGAGGTCTACTACTTTACGAGTGTTTAAAGGTGTCAAGAATAAGGGACCTATAATACTTCCGCTTTGCTTGCTGAAAGATGTCCTCGGATCTTTCACGCTGGAGATCTCTGCACGCCAGCGGGTTCTCGGGAGCTCTCACTATCGCATATCATCTGTCCAGCCCATCTCAAACAATCTAAAAGGGTTCCCACAGCCCCTTTTTGCTTCTCCTGTCGCGACGGTGGATCCGATAGGGTAGTTTGTTTGTCCTATTTTTTTTCCATAAAATTCATTGCTCTGGTCAATTTGTCGAAACATTTAAACAGTTAATTTGTTTTGCCCACTCATTAAACAACCATGGTCTTTCTTCTGTTTAATGAAGACGTAAAATGTATGATCGGAGATGTGAAAGAATTTTTACTGATGCTTCTTCTTGAATTTTTGCTTTTTCAGTTATTTTTTAAATGCAGTGAATTGGCGATAGGTCCCCTCTATTTATTAGCATTGGTAACTCGCATTGATAGCAGTATTTTTTGCTTCCTTGGACCTACTCTTCGTCAGGTTAACTGCGAATTTTGTCCAACCTCCTATCACCGCACCTGCCTAGGTGACACTGCTTCAGAGCAGACGATCAAAGGAAACACCTTCAGATGTAACAACTGCAAGTGAGTTTCATTATTCCTCCTCATCCTTTCACTTTTACTCGGCTAGCTAATTCGTTTGCACCTTTGTTCTCTCTGTAGACGGGGCGTTCAACCAAGGTATGCGCAGGTGGTATGGGTAAAGGTGCACGGTTGTCGCTGGTGGCCTTGTGAGATCATCCACAGTCGCAACGCTCCTTTGAATATTTATAGTCTCAAACACTCTGACGGAGAGTTTGTCATTCACTTTATTGGATCCAACGAATATGGCTGGGTACACCGGTGTCAAACCTTCCCCTTTGAGTGTGCCCTTGGCTCGTTGTTGGCTGCTGAGGTTTCGAACGCCGTTGCTCCATTGGATAAGGCTTTTGGTAGAGGTGTGTGACCGCACAATTCGGCTTATGCTTAATTGATCTGATTTTTTATTAAGATCGCTCTTTGAAGTTGGTCATTCTCTCAAACATACTTCTGTTTCGTAATTGGTTTTAGGATGTTCTTTATAACTGACTTTGCTACTTCCTAAACAATCCAAAGTGGTAGGGGAAGGATATAATGCCACAAGGAGAAGATGGAGCGACAATAAAGGAAATTTCGACATTTTTAGAACCATTACATGCAGGGGATAGCAATGGTTGTGCGTAGAAGTCTGTTCAAAACACTTTTTCACACATTTCACAAGCATATTTTCCAGTTCCACCTGATGGTTGTATGTCTTTATCTTCACTCATTCATTCTCCTAGCTCTTTTCGAGGCTCCTCAGGTGCACCAACTCTACGTGAGCTATCTTAGAAAACGAGGTCTCAGTTTGGTCTCTATGGTGACAGAGGCACTGACAGATGAACAATTGATACCCCTTTCTACACTTGACGCAGCAGCAGCAGTGGGGATTCTCTCCCACACCGAGACCGAGGCCAAGGCGTTAGACGAGGCTATGGCCAAATTTGAGGGAATCTCCTCAAACGTTTTTGCTTCGTCAAATGAAGAGATGGTGAATTTCATCAACAGTACTACAATTAGATCGATTGATAACTAGTGTCTGTTATTGCTCTCGCTTCCCATTTAGCTGACGAAACAAGCTCTGCCCACTACACTGTGCGAATGTGCGCGGAAGCTAGAAGAGGAAGAGCAACAGAGGCCAGACAGTGGGGAACGCGGGGAAGACGAGGTAAAGAGTCATTGGAGATGCTCTGTGGACGCCAGCTGTCGTAACATTCTGGAAGGCATTGAATGCAGCCCTAAGGTCTGCAGCGTGATGGCGCACAATCCGTCAGGCAACTGCGGCAATCTAAACTTTAGCAATCCTTCTGTAGTTGCTCTGTTTCTTACAACGAACCGTGGGGTTGGGCTCAAAGTAGTGAAGCCTGTGGCAAAGGTGCGATTTTTTGTTTCTTTTGTTGAATACTTTTAATCTAATTGATGGTACTGCATGCAGCAGCGTGTGCCAAATGTATATCATGCCCCTCGTAATAATCGACATACCGTGGAGCAGTCTAGTCCAGTTGTTGTCGGTTAATACCACCAGGCAATGGCAGGGTGTGATGATGAGGGTTCTTGCGAATAGAGCCGAATTCACTTGTTTATTGGATAGCCGCTTGCGCTAACTAAATAGTAGAAAAGAGGTGCGACTCCATAAGTCGGTCATATTTGGCTCACCACTAAATGCAGTTTGAGCCAGTGGGCCAAACATCTGCGCGATACAATTTATTTAAATTTCCGAACTTGGACGTCTCTCGTGTAGCTTTAAAAGGCATAGCAGCTGCAGAGAACTTTTAATGGAGTGTTCGATTTGATTCTTTGCCTCGCTTTGCCAGAGCGCTTTGGTGATTGAGTATGTGGGTGAAGTGATTAGTGTTGCGGAGGCGAACCGTCGACTGAACAGAGGCATAGCAGCATGCAATGCAGCGGCAGCCACTGCGCACAACTCGGAACTGCTGCCTTCGACTCACCTTCTACACTTCACTTCTGACCTCGTTATCGATGCCAGTCGGGTGGGCAATGAGGCACGCTTTGTAAACCACTCCTGCGAACCCAATGCAACGTGTAGAGTCTGCAATGTTGATGGCACTCTTCGATTAGGTTAGTCTCTTGTTCTCCGCTTTACACCCTCCCCTCGGATCAAAGGACAGCTGGTCAGGCTTAACTTGCTTAAAGCATAGAAATTGAAAACTTGCGATCTTGGGATGACTTTTTCTTACATATCAGTTAAAGTGCTTCAGTAACAGCTGGAAAGCATTTAAATTACAAGGTTACTTGTGTTATCGTGGTCTAGATCTAAGTCTGGACGATTGGAACTCCACATTAAGTGTTCATAAGACTTCTGGTTTGTGCTCTTTAGTACCGCTATTCTTTACTCCACTTGTATCGTGAGTTGTCTTTTTCAAGAGTTTCAACTAATTTAATGCGAAGATTAGAGCGTGTGCACTTCTATGTCTTTCAAAGGAAGTAGCGAAATGACTGCAATCTCATACAACGATATAAACGTGACTTATCAGCAGTGAATATTTTTACATAACCTTCGCCTAAAAAGGAGGGGTTCGTATAACTCTTTAGAAGTAGTGGCACTTACATCTACTTACTCAAAACCTATAATTTTCACGTTATCAAAGGTCTCTTCGCTATGAGGTGTCTGGAAGAGCAAGAGGAGGTGACGATAGACTACCGAAAAGCCCAACTACTTGACTGCTACTTCATGAATTCGACCAATGTTTGTGTTTGCGGTTCCGAAACGTGTGATGGATTTGTTAGGTTACCGCATAAGTTTTTCCCCAACGAGAAGGTCCGGAAAAGCAGGCCTTCTACCACGTTGGCAGCGTCGAAATCACAGCCACCAACGTCGGATCGATTGCTACGCAGTGGTCGACTTTCAGAGGTGCCACGAAGGCCGGAGACTATGGGACCGCCACCACCACCGCGGCATTCACTGACGGAGAGGTTGATGCCACCACCATCAGCACCTCCGATGCCGAGTTCGGAGCCTGATTTGCCTCTTAGAAGTCGCAGCGGTGGCGGCGGCAGCAGTAGCACCGTTCCACACCATTTGCTTTCAGCTGCAGCCACAGAAAAACCGCCTCCAGTCACAGTCACACCTGCGACTCCAACGCATTGTACACCTAAAGTTGTTGTAACTCAACGTTTGACACAGCCTCTCCACGAAGACTACTGCTTCCGGTAAGTTTAGCTCCTCATGTCACAGAAATCTTTTGAATAAAACTTGACCGTTTTCAACAGTAGCCATCAAGTAATGTCGTCAGTGACTCTATGAAGCCAAATTTTGTTCCATACCTATATCGACTTTTCCATTTTTGTTTCTCTATTTCAGATGTGGTGACGGGGGAGAAATGATAGCTTGCAACAGAGCATCATGTCCCAGAGTGTATCACCTTGGTTGCCTAGGCCTGAGTACACCTCCTAGAGGTACCCTTCCAAATGTCTATTGTTAAATATTAGTTCACTGGCATTCAAATCATCCTTTTTTTGTCAGGGGATTGGCACTGCCCTTGGCACTTCTGCGATGTCTGTGGCCATCCGTCTCTGCAAATGTGCTGTCGCTGCCCCAATTCCTATTGCCTGGATCACTCTTCTACGAAGGACGGTAAGGAGCTCATCCGCGTGCACGAACTAGATGTGAGTCGGTGGCTCCGCACGCTAAAAGTGCTTGAGAAATGCTCTTCCGACCCTGTTGAGATGACCAGAATGACCGCTGCGCTGATTATCCGTTGCCGGTGGGTCTGTCATGTGCACAGTCAAGCAAGGACACGCCTTCGAGGCCCCGCAACCCCATTGAAGGGGAATGAGCTTGCCGAAACCACAGAACTCCCTGCTGGAAATGAATGCGTTGGTAGTGACGATGAAGAGTTTATTGCTAGTTGTGATTCCTCTGACGATAGTGATGATGATATTTATAACGACTTTGAGACTGCGGATAACGAGGAAGGTGTTACCGCCACCCTACAGGACGAAGTTAATAACGTATCTGGTAATGATGACGGGGAGGGTAATACACGGAATATATCTGAAGAAGTAGAACGAGAGATGGAAGATAACACCAAACGGGATTTCGATTCGCCGTACGGAGGGGTGGACGAAGCATGAGAAAGCTT